TATATATATATATATATATATATATAAAAAGGTTATATTTTTTTTTACAACTTATTGGGTTCTTTTAGGTCAATTACTAAACTAATCTGACCAAAACTTTTATTTTAATGATTAAACAAAATTGAACTAAATCAAACAGAACCAAATTAAGCTGAGCAAAAATGGATTGGATTGAAAGCTAAGATCAACTGAAGTAAACTAAATTAGAAAGCATCAGATTGAACCGAGCCAAACACTTTGGACTGGACTGAACAGAATCAAACTAGGTTCAGCTAAATTGTACCGAGCTGAACAGACAGAAACTGCTGTTTTGGTCTGAATATAACATTCTTTGGGATGAGCTAAATATTGCTAAAGCCCGAAAAAAAAAAAATAAATAAATAAATAAATAAATCCCAAAGAAACACAACTGAGCTGCATTTAGCAGAGAACTCAAATGTATGTGTTTTTTGTTTTCGCCCAAGGCTGAGGACTTGGGGCTAAATACAAGGTTGTTGACTTCTGAAGACATCAACAAAGAATAATCTTATTAAAAATAAGCAAAATGTATTTAGGTGTTTTTTAAATAAATATATATTTTATAATTTAAACAAATATATTTTAGTCGTTTTATAACTTAGTTTCCAGTTGTATAAATTATTGAGTTATATTATTATTGTAATCCTTCTATATAGAAAATTAAAACTAAATACTAAGTTTGGATTCAGGATTTGTAAATTACACCTTTTTGATCAAAGCTAACTAATCTAAATGAAAAAATATAAACATGTTCAAAAATAAGGAGGAAATTAAACTACTAGTTATCTATTATTCACATTACACATTAAGTAGTATTATAATGTTAACATTTATTCACAAGTCAAACATTATAGACTAATTTCTTAAAATAATTATTTTGAAAAATATACTTTTTAAAATTTAATTTACACTTTTAATAGTGCCTAAAAGTGTCCAAATTCCAATTTTCTATAAATTCAGATTAAGTATTTAACACTCCATTTCTAAGAATAAAGTAAAATATCAAGCTTTGCTAAAAAGATAAAAATGGCTAAATATGTAGTTATAATGTCCAACAATTTTTAACATTTATTTTGGACAAAAAAATGAAAACAGAGTTTGAACAGTAAGACTTCCAGAATTAGAGGAGCCATCTTACCTCACAGGTAGCTTGAGGGTTCCAGCGGGACAAGGAGCTGTTAGAAGGATCAGGAATCCTATGAAAGAGCTTCCGTTTTGCACTAAAAGACAGAAAAATTTTAATGAAAAAGACACTATAGAGTAGCGGTGTCAAAGGGGACTGCAGGTTTTCTTTCCAGTCAACCAATAGCAAACCAGACTCCAGTCATCTCATCAAGTCATCATGTTCAGATTGGACTCACTTGATGAGATGACTGGAGTCTGGTTTGCTATTGGTTGGTTGGAAAGAAAACCTGCATCCACTCGGCCCTTTCTGGAACCACTTTGACACCCCTGCTATAGAGGAAGGGATCCATTTAATGGACCACAACAAAAACAAACATGAAGACCTAAGGTGTGTTTCATAAAACCAGCATGTTTTTTTTAAGCAAGGTTTATTTGGTAATGTCAGGCCTATTTTGTTCTCATTTGGGTTTCTTAAAGCTGACCCGGTTACTATGGTAACTCACCCAGTAACATGGTCAGAACCAAGTTTGGAACTGACAAAGTTCAAAATATGTGTCTTCTTTGTTGATTTCAGCACCAGGGTGGACAGGTAGAGACAGACAGGTATTAGCACCATGCATGGTGCCTTCAAAATCAGAACAGGTTAATCATCAAAATGTTATACATAATTGTTTTTGGTTTTTTAGCTTCTCAGATGTATTTCACAAAACCTACTCAGTAAAGCCAGACTTGGACGTCCAACTCTGACTCAACTAAGGCACAACATGTCAAGGCGGAATTATGGGGTTTACCCAAAATGATGCTTCGCTTGTTAATGCACTAATGCACATAACCAGACTGTGTAGTCAAAGATGGAGTTCATTTAGAAACCAAGGAGAAATGTGAATGGACTTGTTATTTCATTGGTGGAAACCTAGTTGGAGTTGAGAAAATTAATTAAACAATAAAAGGGAAATAATGTTACCATCAATAAAACCAGGGATGATAAATGTGTAAATTGTCATCTTGTTCAGCATACACATGAGATATATCCAAATTAAATATAATATTTAATCAGTTAGTTATAATATTTAATCAATTTGAAATTTTCATGATCTTGGCACTGATGACTGGCTTAATTACTCATTAGATGTATGTGGTCACTGACCTGTGCTTCGTCTCTCCAGAGATTCCTGCCTCAGACGTCCTAGCAGCTGTTACCACTGATTCATTTGCTTTTAATAAGTGCCTTCTGAGTATATTGAAATGTTTGTCTTGCATGTATACTGGGTCCTCTGATCTGAATCTTTAGAGATATATTTGCAAGCATCCTTACAGGCATGGGTGTTCTTTTCGCAAAGTGGAAAAGACAACATTTTTTGTATGCTCGATTTATTTATTCCATAACTGTAGAGGCTATATACTTGTTTACGCAAGAAAGTAAGTAACATATTTCTGTATAACATTTTTTGCATGAAACTCATTTTGTGATATATAGCTTAACTTTTTACCATTTTTGAGGGCACCTTACATTTGGGCCGGATTAAGGCACTAAAATAGTTCTGTCCCTCCAGTGCTGGATTTAACAAAGCACACAGTTTAAACTTAGTCAGCCCTAAACCTGGGCTCTGTATCTTAAACTCAAATCAGTATCTTCTGCTGTTCTCTAGATGTGGCTAATTTAGCTTTTTTGGAGTTCTTTACCTGAAGGCTGTGGTCCCAATTTGAGGAGCGTCATTCATCTGCATCTCCATCTTGTAACGACGTCTATGAGGCTGAGGCACATTGGGATTCACCAAAGCGGTCCATAGCCCATTTCCTATCCTGATTAGAGTTCTAATTGTCCAACCCATGAAAGGTGAAGGAATAGAAGCTAGGAACTGGAGGTAATTTGGAGGATTAGGATTAGGGCTGAAACTATTCATCAGATTAATTGTGATTGATCTTAGTAATCATTAATCATTAAATTGGAGCATAGAGACTCTAAAACGTGCCTTTAGCTGACAGAGGACCCGCTTAGAACAGCATTTATATCAAAATTGTAAAAAAAATATGCAAACATTTTGCATTTAAGATAAAATAAAATGTTTTCGTCTTATATGTTTAATCCAGAACTCCTCAAGTGAAAACATTTTAATTTCACCTAGTTTAATTTAGTAAAAAATCTTCAAGAAACCTTTTGCTATCAGATTATGAATCTAAAAAAATTATCGGCAAAACAATTGTTAGTTGCAGCCCTAATTATGATTGAGCCCTGGTCGCCACCAGGCTAAGTTCACCAGTTCAAATACCATGGTAACTGAGTATGAGAGAGCCAACTTTTTGAAATCCAAATGACAGCCTAATAATCCGGACTTTGCCAATTTAGCCTTGCTTAGGAAGCAAACCAGTTTTAGGAAATCTCTCTCTGGTTGAAATCTTACAACTTCATCTGAGCCAGGAGAACCATCACCATCAGCACCACCAACATGAGCAGGAGCGGAACGACGACCCATATCACTATTGATGTTTCCTCGGAGCCTTCACACACAGAAATAAGAGTTCAAATGAGAGCACTAAGTGATTTAGGGCGTTACACCTCTGTGGTTGTGTGTTCCAGCTTTACCAATGTGCACGTTAGTCCTATTCCCAGTCGGACCAGTTCCGGCGATGGTGCTGGCACTCATGAAAATGTCATAAATGCCAGGTGACATATTCTCTAGAGTGTAGCGGTGAACATGTCCAGGCACCGTTATACCTGATTAAACATTAAAATTGGGACAAGTGATTACATTTATTGGTCAAAATCACTCAAGTAGCTTACAAAAACACTGTTTAATCTGAAACATGTAAATAACATTCAGTGCAGCCAGTTTCCTTCAGAAATCACCTAATTAGTAAAAGCCTAATACTGTCAATAGTGTGAGATTTATCTCCATATAAATCCAGCTGTTCCGTAAGAGGCTCATATTTTTGTTAGTGTACAAATATCATCATGAGTCCCCAAAGAAAACCAGAGAGGCGAATAAAACAGGTTAAGGTGATTAAAAAAAAATCCCAAGCTATGAGTATGTCACAAATGCAAACCTACTAAAAAAAAAAAATCATTTTTTATTTTTTTAAAGACAAGGCAACAACAAAAGAATTGCAAAGCTGAGGATTGTTTAATCTCAGAGAACTGCAGAAATCCTAAGCTCAGGTTTATTTATATAACATCTTTCACAGGTAAAAGTCCTTTAGCACTACTTTTATTATTATATTAGTGCATAAATGGATTCTGGCAATGACTCACTCTTTGCTGGTTGGTTATTGGTGGTGTAATAGAGGGTGTAGTTTCTGATGAAGCCATGAAGCAGCTCCACAGGAACAGGACTCCAACTGAGCTCCACCAAGCTGCCTGAAATGTGCTCCACCTGCACATTAGGACCTGCTGAGGGTGCTGTTGATACAGAAGAGGAAAGAGATGAGGCAGTGATTAGACCAGAACACTGTTTCAATTATTCATTTTTTAAATTTGTATATATTTCTGGAATCGTTGCTCGTCCTAAGATTAGATAACTTTTACATATTATCAGCTGGTTATAAAACCTATTTCCTCTTTAGACACATCAGACCCAAAACACTATGACTCATTTTAAAAAGAATAAACCTTCTTAATCTCAGTTAATCATTGTTTTTAGTTACATTTTTACCCTTTTTGTTTCTAACTAAACCATTTCACATCAATACCATTCTTTTCAACTAAACAAATTCATTTTAAGAGTAAGTTTTGCAAAATGGTCTGTCACTGTTGATAATTCGGGAATGGAGACTCGAAAATGAAGGATAAGGATCGGCTATAAACTCAGTCCAGAAACATCTCTTGAATGATGGTTAAGATGGAGAAGCTGATGAAGCAGTTGAGTACAGATACTAAAAGCCTAGATAATAACTGAGGCTAGGATGCAATTTTCTCAAAGCAAATTCAAAAACATAAAAAAAGGAACATTAATAGGAAAAGAAAATGTTACACAAAGAGTGTTTGCTTTATTAGGTAGGCCATTGGTTGCTTGTTGTTAGGCAAAGTTTCTAGAGCCGTTGGCCACCCTATCCTCCTCTGATTCCGCTGCTTTGCATAAGTACTGCTTCTGCCGGGCATGATCATGCCTTGCTAGGGGTGACCTTGTCTTTTCCTATGAGGTGACTTCAGTATTACCACGAAGAAGTCCTCCCAAGTTAATTTGCATGTTCAGTCCGTTTGAACGGAAACACCCCTATGATGTGTGCACAGTTCGATGTTAATATGGAGTCTGTTCACTGCAGGTGGCTGATGTAGCTGCTGATTCACTGCTAAACTTAAGCCTGGACTGAAGCTGATCATTCTAGCAAAGAAATATTCAAATTACCACTGACAACTCTAAAAACAATTTGAAAGTTGTCAGTGGGATTTGGAGTTTTACTATTTTTGCAAATTTACCAGACAAAAATAAACTGAGATGCATAAGTCTGCCGACTAATAGTTTCTTAATACTTGAAGAACACCTGAACGTTCCACAAAAAAAACAAAAAAACACATTTTTTAACTTTCTTAACATTAAGGTTTGAGGCTCTGATAATAGTTTGCAGAGGACCTTTGGTTCTAATCGTGTTCTGGGTTCATTCTGCATCATTATGTATATTATCCTAATGCATAGGTGGGTTCTACCTGGATTTGAGTGGGGGTTATATAAACTGTATGGATCTATGTTGCACTAATTTTGGCAGGCAACCTCTCTCACAGTAACTGCCAGCCTCATCCACAAACTCATAAGGATAAGCATAAATAAAATTTGAAGAAATAATGCTTATTAGTCTGGAAGGGGATATGAAAAGTAAACCACTCATGGCAGTCTCTAAAATAACTGCCAATGTGCCCCAATTTGGCCATCCAGGCAATATTACGCTGAAAGCAGCCTGCAAGATGCTAACAGCAGTCGCCTTATAATCAAGTATTCTTCAGGGACCTCAAATCTATTGCTAATGTAGATATGAAACAGTCTTCAACAAGTTTATCCGAGCTCAGGAAGTATGCAGGAATCAACATTTGCTCATTATGGAAAACCACTAAAGCCAGATTGAAGAATGGGACTGACACTGACCAGGAATTCTGGAAATATCTTTTTTTCTTATATGGATGAGTAAAACTGAATTATCGGGACACTACAAGAGTAAAGAACCTTATAGAAAACTGTGAGGTAAAGAGATAGAAGTGTCATAGATTTGACACACAATTAAACCCTCCAACAAGACAATAACTCGTAACAAATCTTATGAGAAACCTCATAAACAGGCAACATTTCCTCTGACCAATGCCAACGACTAGTATGTGACAACAGAAATGTCTCACTGAAGTTATTTCAGCTAAAGAGGCTAAATCACCTATTAAAGGGTCAACTCCCACTTTTTCCTCAGCTAGAGCGACACATTTGTTGATATATATTGGTTTAATATTATATCCAAGTCAACATTTTCAGCACAAACTACAGTATATATATTTTGCAGATCACATACTTCCTTCCAGGGTATAAACATGGAGTGTCACATTCTTCCCTGCTCCTTGTTCACCATATAGAGCCTTGACAGAGACTGCATAACGTTCTGCTGGCTTCACTCCGTCTAAAAGAGGCAAAAATTCAAAGTGTCAGCCCTAAATCAAAACAAAATGCTATGCATTACAGTATTTTGCAACCGGTCTACCTGTAATAACCAGCTTTGTACAGGAGCTATTCAGCTTTTCCCAGTACAGAACACTGCTGGTTTTTTCCCTCACTGCTAACCACTCCACAACGAAGCCGCTCACTGGAAGATTTGGCGGAGACGTCCAGCGAACCTCCATGCTTCTGTTCCCCGCCAGCGGTTCGACGGTGACTTTGACTGGAGGTGGTGGCTCTGAGGACACAGAAAACAAAGCTGATGTAGCTAATCCAAAGAGTCACAGCGACACAATGAATCATGTTGCCTTTCCTTGATGTTGTTTGCGTTCTTAGAAAAGACAATAAAAGTCACTGTCAGTCAATTAAATGGGTCTTGCAAACACACACAATGGCTCAGACAGTCTATTCTTCATCTCAATTTTTTTCCACATAACACTGCTTGATGATGTGCTTCACACTAGAACGGAATTGTGTATCAAAAGGAAAAATGATGGTTGGATTTCAACTTTTCTACAATGAAAATATGAAAAGAGAACATTTGCATTCAGCTTCCCAAATAAAATATAAATCTTTGCACATTCCTATTGGCAAATCAGATCTACCTTAGATTGGAAGGAGAGCAAATTTAAATTTAAATAGCATGCTAAGGGTCATTGTCCTGCTCAGCATTTGAACCACTTTCCCAGTTGTCAATATTATGCCGCATCAGACAGGATTTCTTCCAGAGTCGACTTATAATTAGCATCTTCCCAAAAAGAGAACAGTTACCCCATAGCATGATGCTACCACCACCATATATCAATGTTAGATGATGTGGTCAGGGTTTACCATCACATAGGTTGTGCAAAAAAATCAACCATTTATATTTTAGGGCTTATCTGACCAGAACTACTTGTCCCACACATTGCCTCATCACCCATTTAAAACATGTGTAAGGAACTTCTTTCATAAACTGCTTCTATAAAGGCTGGATTTATCAAGTGTTCAAATAGTTACCAAAAACCTCTTGGGAGCTTCCTTGAATACTTCTCACTATGTTCTGCCTCTACTTTATGTGGATTTTAGCATTTTCTATCAACATTGAATGATGGCCAGTGAAATGTTCTAAAACCTAACCAATTATAGAAGCCTTTTTAAAACTTTATCCCTAATGCCTGTATAGATTCTGTCATCCAATGATCTTAAGTACTTAAATGAAAGGAGCCGGACATCTTCTCCTGTTTTAATTTTTTTCTTTTATTTAGACCTTTCATCTCTCTACATCAATGGTTCAAAAGTGCTAAGAGCACCCAGTCTGCTCTTCACTTTTAAGACATTCCTTGTCCTTAACACAGAGATATAAAGTGAAAGTGTTATATAAAAGTAGATATGTTTAAGGCAGACTGAAACTTTTGCAAGGTTCTGTATCTGACTGTGACTATACCTGTCTCAGAGGAGCCTGGGATCCAGACTCGGTCTTCCGGCGATGTCCCTGCAGAGGTGGAGGCTGTCAGAGCACAGGAGCAACGCACAGCAGGAAGAGCTAATCTGCAAGATGTGTCAACATCCAGGAGCGTTCTGCAGCTTCCATTATCTTTAAGAATCTGACCATTCTCTGTCCGACAATACACATTGTAGCGGCGAACTCTGCCATTAGCCAGGAGGCGAGGTAACGGCTAAATGCCCCAAAACAAGAAAACAGGTGAAAAATATTAAATTGAGATGCTTTGATATGAAATACAAAGCAATTATATAATTTAAGTCAATAAAAATAAGCTGTAAAACATTTTTGTGTATGTCAGATACACTCCTAAAAATCCAATAAAGGAATGAAAGAATAATTGCATGGCGACAAGGAAACAAATTAAAGATCTGCTACCAGTGATGCCAATAAAAAATAATCACATTGGAAATTTATGAAACTGTAAAAGTTCTAACTGATGCTGTGGGAAATTATTTGGAGAGAACTTATGAGACAAAGGCTGATGTTGACAGTCATGAACATTTACCTTCCAAAGCAGAGAAATGAGCCTCCCTCCGTCCCTGCTGGCGTGTACCACCTCCCTCCAAAGCACCGGTGCAGCCGATGGGACTGGAGAATTGAAGCAAAATTATTACAGTAATTACAGGAGGGCACATCCCAACACGTCAATAAGGAACATGATGATACTGTCATCCAGGGCAAGAATACATTCCCAGTTTTATTACAGCATTGGTGTTCAGAAAACAGTAGGAAAACATAACATCACGACAGCCGACAAACAGTGTTTGTGGTTAGAGAGACTGTGGTTTTGGATGCAGGAAGGCTGTCCGTTTTTAAAAAAACTTGATCTTGATCTTTCAGTCTGGCCATATCAAAATCTGATTTCAAATATGTGGGAACAGAATGTCGATGTCTATTTATGGGTTTGATTTGGGTTGGTAAAACGTATTGCATTCCAGCAGTCTGTGTACAAAAGGCAGGGCAGATGGGGTAACCAGATCTATAACCTGAAAGTTTTCTAAATACTTGTGGTTGAAACACTATAAAATGGGAAAAGCCTCCAGGGGTGTGAAAACATTTGAAACAATCCTTAAGATTTTCATCTGTTGTGATTAAATTGTCTTACTGCCTTTGGCTCATAATAAAGAGCTGGGCTAAATTCATCTAACAAGACATTTTATCTCAGACATGTCAAGGCAAAGAGTCAAGAGGCAGTTGCTGAATCAAAACGTCCCAGATAGTAGTTTTATACAACTCTGACAACTGAACTGTCCGGGCCTGTAGAACACGTACTGCTACTCTGCGACTATAACAAGATAAAGCGTGAGCGTATGGAAGGTTAAAACCACAATTTTCCATAAAATCGAAAGCAACAAACAAGTTATTAAATAACTTTACTGGCCTTCCTGAACTTTGCGATTTTAACTGTTTCGTAAGACCATTCCAGGACACATTATACCATGTGAAATTATTAGTCTTTTGTATGACCTCAAATTCATTGTTTTTACATAACACTATTCACCTATGACGTAAGACGATAAGCAACTTTATCAGTGTGCACCAGATGAGTGTATGACATATTTGTGCAGCTAGAAACAACAAAAAGAGAATTTGATACAGTTGTGGCTGAGGACGAGACAAATGCAAGATGTGCTATTTTACAGATTTTAAATATCTCACCCCTTTGAGCAGTAGTACAAACATGTCAGCCTGCTGTTAGACAAGCTATTAAATTAACAAAATCAGCTGTTAAGCAGCATGTTCAGGCTAAAATCTTTCAAAAACATATACATTTTGTATTTATGTGTTTATTTGAACAGGGACAGTGCACATTAATAAACATTTCTGTAAATGAGCCAGTGTTAGCTAAGTAGCTAATTTTCAACTGTAGTCCCTGGGCAAGGTTTAAAATGCCAACATAATAAAAACAACAACATTAAAAATTAGTGCAAACAATAAAATACATAGTTAGTAATCTACATGATTAAATTAGTTAATCAATAGTCCAATAATAAAACAAAGGGTATCTAACTTTTGATAGCATGTCTTATTTTCCACCCAAAACTAGGGGTCAATAAACCGTAGACTAAACAAATATATGTTTCCCAGTCCTGAGGTATCCTCTGCTGTTATTGTATAGCCCAGGCGGTCAGAGCAGTCACCACAAAGCACCCATTACACAGCTGTAGTGAAACAGCTGTGAGTCACGCTGCACATCCCCATGACCAATTTCTAGGAACAGCTCTCTGGATCAGCTCAGTGTCACATGAAACTTTTCAATGATAACGCTTCTCCCCATCATCAGTCTGTAGTCAGACACTGCGTACACTGCATAAAAAAAATTAGCTTTTTCCAGACGTTGCCAGAGGACGTCTGCTTTGTTGTCTCCATTGAGCCAACGATGATAAATCTCACCACAATTAAGAATGTGGAAGAGAATTGTCACACTTAGAGGATACAATTGCATTGAAATCTGTGTTAGCACATGTGCTACATGTAGTGTGGTGTTGTACGATTGTAGTCTGTTACAGAGATGGGAAGTAACGAAGTACAAATACTTCGTTACTGTACTCAAGTAGATTTTTCTGATATTTTTACTTTACTTTACTACTTATTTTTATGGCGACTTTTTACTTCTACTCCTTTTTTTTATATTTTTACACAATATCTGTACTTTCTACTCTTTACATTTTAAAAAATTGGCTCGTTACTTTAGTTTTAAATCATTTCAATGAAGTTACCGTTATTATTTTTCAGGTCATCAATACCAAAATCAATCTAATTGGATGGGAATCTACGTTGCATTTGACGCACCACTACAAGATGAATCGACAGATTCTGCGGTATTCATTCGCGGCAAATCATTGCAGCTTGGTGGCGGTGGCGTTAGCATAGTAGCATGGACGACGAGATGATTGAAAATGAACACAACGGAGATCTAGTCCTATTGGCAGACATCCATCTAAAATGTAGGCAACGGCATGAAAAAAGTGGTTTCTACTTTTACTTTTATACTTTAAGTAAATTTACAAGCCTGTACTTTGTTACTTTTACTTGAGTAAAGAAGTTTAATCAGTACTTCCACTTTTACCAGAGTATTTTTTAACACAAGTATCTGTACTTTTACTCAAGTACGGAAAGTGAGTACTTTTGCCATCTCTGGTCTGTGATAGTCTCTCCATTTAAGTTAGCCAAAATATTCAATACAGTTTTATATGAACAGGGAAAAGCTTTGTAGTATGAAAATCAGGGAAACGCTATATTGGTAAAGATCCATGCATAGAGCACAATCCATAACCCAGCCTCTGTCTGTGAAATTGTACAACTTTTCAGTTAAATTAAACAATATTTTCTCTATTTGAAATGCAAACCTTGATTGTGCTTGGTGCTTTATTAAAATACAACCACCACATAATAAATGTACCTACATTTTACAAGTGGTGGGTGCAAATTTGCTTCCACCACTGCTTTTTTTTTTGTTTTGCTCTTATCAAAGCAAACAGGAAAGGCTCACCATTACAGGAACTGATCTTTTTTAATTTTTTTATTTAAGGGGAACACTGTCTAAAACCTGCAAACTCTTTCCCAATATGCCAAAACTCTCTCCCTTCCTTAAGCTCTTGTAATTTCATGTTGCAGATGATTGTTGTGGTTATTAAATTATTAGCTCATCTTAAATAATATTTTACATTACACACAATAAAATTAATATTTTAGTTTTATATTTATGTGAAAATGTGACAAATTTACATTTATCGGGATATTCCTGTATCAGCAGTTTCCACAGTTACTGCTGTTATTTCACAAATAATATTTAATACTCTGGCTGCTGGTTATTGCACATGTTTCTCTTCTGTGATTCATAAAATCCTTCTAAAGACAGATTAACTTTTATTTATCTTCTTGCTCAGTTATTACTATGGTGCATGTCAAGCATCAAGTGCATTCCTATTTACCGATATGTGGACTTAGGTCTGTAGCAGCTGTAACACTGTAAAATATTACATTTAAATATCAGCAAGTGTCAGATAATCAGTACTGGTTATCTTTGGTCAAAAATCAACTATGCCATGTTTTAATTGAAGCATGTTACGTATTGATAATTCAAAGAATCTGTTGTTCTTAAAAATTACTAATATTTAACACTGCCTTTCAATATCAAAAAAAGATGAAACCAAATAGCAAAAAAAAAAAAAATGATCCAGGATTTGCAGCATGCATGTTACTCACTTGTTCAAGTCTGCTTATGCTCGCTTTGTGTCATTAAGGTTTAAGGTCATATTCCTTCTACGCAGCTGTCTCTGAGTCCCACGATGACATTTAAATCTAGTTTAAGTTGATTAAGTTGATAATTAAATATTGAGTCGTTTCCTTTCTTTCTTAGAAAGGATGTTGTGGATTGACAGCTTCATTAGAAATGAGGGCTCTGATGTATGCTCTAGTTTGGTGTAAAAATAACTCGGATTTGACTCAAAACAAGTCCTCCAATTCTGTGACATCAGTAGTTTCATATCGATCAAGATCTTGTTTCAACTCACCATCCTCTGCTGTTGTTCCCTCACATGCGTTGCTCCATTTGCTCCATGGGCTTGCCGGACCCTGGTAGCGGTGTCTGAGCCTTATTCTATAGAAGGTGTCTGGACTGAAGAAGCACACCAAGAAACTGTATCCAGTTACTGTTACATTCCTGACCTGAACATTTGCCTGTTTAGATGAGAGAAACAAACAAATGACCTTCTGTTAAACAGAACATTTACTGTGCTCTGCTTTTTTGCACTTCATGTGTATATACATAAATATATATCTTTAAAATTTTTGACTTCATGTATGCCTTGAAAAAATTTCTCACTAAAGTTCAATCTGAAAAACTCACACTAAGAGAAAAGACAATTAGGAGAAATTTACTGATACAATTAGTTTGTCTTTGGCGCTCAGACCTTGGCAGGAAATATAGCGGTTAATTTTGATAGATATGCATGAACAGGAGCAAAGAATATGGCTGCCTCCCCCCAAGGCCTGAAACTGGTGGTGGAGTGGAGATAGATGAACTTGGTCAGTCTATAGACTGCTGGTTAGCGAGACGGTACGCTGAGCTTTATGGGTAGATCTAGTGGACTGCGTGAGCTGATACTAGAGCTTCACTCAGGGACCTGGAAGATGGAAGTCTCGTTGGATAACATGGGTTGAGAGAACCTGTCCATGATGAGCAAGCATGAAGCGACAGTGGAGAGGAAAAATTCCTCGCTGGGAAGAAAACTCTGGCAGAGCCAAGCTCAACATGGCGGCCTTCTGCCGGACTGTTTAAGAGAGACAGGGAATGCAGTAAGAGTCCTGGAGTAATGAACTCTGATGAAGCTTTAGCTACGTTGGTGGAGGAGGGGCTGGGTTGAAACAGTGTCATCTGAATGCAGAAGCCTTTTCAGCTCTGATCACAAATGTATCCATAAGATTGGATTCAGGGCTTTAAGAAGGCCACACTCACTGCCTTTTTTTTTACTTAGGCCACTTTATAACAAACGTCTTGCTATACCTAGGATCATTGTTCATTTGGACGATCGACTTGCACAAGATAGTTATTTCCAGGACAAAGTCTTGAGGTACTGCTTCTGTATTTACACATAATGGTCTTAAATAATGATGCAGTCTATCTTAGGATCTCTGAAAATCTCTGCTCAACCAAAAACACCCACAAAGTGAGGTTCTCTGGCTCTAAATGGTTCCCCTTTCTGCCACTTATTTATTAGGCTCAAGGCAACTCTAGCACACCGTGGGCCCATTGCAGGGTATATGAGGTGACCAGATCTAAAAAAAGAAATGTGGGACAACTAGGTTGATTATGTGGATCAGACTCAGTTGCACTTTTCTTTTATGACTAACTTTTAGTGTGTTTACGTCATGCTCTCCTTGTTACAATTTTAAAGATAACTTTTGCAATCTGTATGTAAATCGATGTGTAAATCGTTCCATAAATCGATGTAATGCAGGGCATAACATCGATTTATGGAACAGTAGGACAGAAGGGAAAAATATGTGACTGTCTCTCACAAATCAGGACATCTGATCACCCAACGGGTACGCCCTGGATAGGGTGCCCAACCATCACATAGACACACAACCATTCACATACACTTAGAGCAATTTAGATACTGAAATTAACCTAAGGGTCATGTTTTTAGCTGGAAAAGGAAGCCGGAGTACCCAGACAGATCTATGCATGCACAGGGAGAACATGCAAACTTAATGCAAAAGACCAGGAATTAACCAAGGGTATTCTTGCTGCAAGACACCAGTGCTACAAACTGCAGTGCTGTTGTTGTCGGAAAATTTTTATCTCTCTTCTATTATATACTAATTTATCCTATTTACTCACTATAAAAGTTTTCACTTAGTCTGTTTCTCTCTAAAAGCCACACAATTCTCTGCAGGATGGTGTTTGTAGACCAGAAATAGCTTCTTCCCATAACAAATCAGATTCTTTCTCAAGGTTTATTCATAAGATGGTACTGTTTAACCAAAGTGTGTGTAATTTGTTATGACTCTGACTACTTTCCATTGTTGTACGAACGCTGCCCAGATCAGAACAGAGCAGAATGCTGTGCCATAAGGGCTGTATGATGACTGTTCTCTCTTTGCAAAGATAAGAATAAATGTGCTGACTGAGTGAAATCCATCGATCTCCATTTATCTAACCAGGATGAATAGTTGAATACTTTTTTCCCAAGACAGCTGTGTAGTTTCTTCATTAAGGAAATATCCTGATTTAAGTATCAGTCTATATGACTTGCAAATAAAAGTTACAGGATTTATTTCTGTATGAATTTACAAACGGTTTACAAACATTGCTTTTGAACTACCCCAAAAATATTCAGCATTAAGGTGTTTTCTTTATTAAGGGTATGATGGTTTGATATTTAAAGCATGTTTATACTTGCTGATATCAATTAAAGAGGGTGTTTCTAACCTTAAAATAAATCCATATGAATAATCTATAGATACTGAAGTTATTTGTCATTTCTGTGGTTAAAATGTGACCAAAAGCAAAGTGATTGAACATTTCTCTAAAAATATACATAATATCAATATATTTTGTGACTTTTTTCACAAAAATACAGATATCATTTTCAACATTAGCTACCTGATTTTAGTTTGTCAGATTTATTGTCAGACAGTGAGAAAATAAGGTTATTGGTCTCTTTCCAATTATATTTAATTTCTATTTTTAACCTCGAATGAGTAAAAAAATATTTTTGGCAGAACACATTTTAATCAAGCGAGCCAAATTGTCAAATATTGTTTACATTTGCTACAAAGAATGATAAAAAGGTTTTTGTAATCAGGCAGGAAAATGCTGGATTTATAATTATAAAAATTTTAAGCCCTTAAAGAGTCAATTTTTGAATGGAAATTAATCAGAGGTAAAATAACTTCAAGAATGCAAATAATGTTGGACTATTTAGACATTTTCCAAACTTTGTAAAAATGTAAACAATGCAGTCTTAATTTCAATATATGTGGAATAAACAGCATTACATCATCAGCATATAAAGACATCAGCCAGAAGTAGCTGAGGGCTCAATAGCTTTGAGCTTTCTGAGTTAGTAAGCATTGTGGAACATTTCAACATATTTCTAAGTTCAATTTCCTCTTGATTTTCATTTCATAATTTCATATAGCTTACCTGCCCCTTTACTGCAAACTCTATTTGAGAATTCAAGTTCCCTTGTTTGATTTCTGTCTCCGTAACGCTAAAATCCATGATAGTGCTCCAGAACACTTTCAGACACTTAGGGGAACCATTAACCTGTTGGACGTTGTCCAAAATCGCAGGATGCAAGATCACTAAGTCAAACAAAAAGCGAAAGGTCAGGACATTGTAATGAATAAATATTGATGCTACAGTTGAGTTGAAACTCCCCACAAGCTTACCTTCTTTTCTCGCAGGCTGACACCGAGGTTCTGATGAAACATTTCCACTTACACTGTGTGATATAACGGTGATGCAGAAGTCAAACTTGATTCCAGAGGTAAGGCTTGCTGTGCAGCTCAACCTAGATGTGCTACAGGTGAATAAGGCTTTGGAGCAGTTTGGACTCTGGTAATGAATACCACATGAGCTGAAAAACACAGACATAGACAAAAAACCCTGAAGATATAGAATATCTTGAAGAAGCATGAAAGACTTCTTAAACTTAACGTGCTCTAGTGATATTTCACGCAATAGTAACAAAGTAAACATTTTTTTTTCTAATTCCATCTGATAAAAATCTGAAAGGTGCATTGTGTATTTGTGTCCTCCTCGGTCCTCCGAGGAAATACTTTGCAGAACTAACTTTGATGTTTCGCTATATAGAAAAGCATCCCCACAGCATGATCCTGCCACTTTTATGTATAGCTATGGGGATCTTGTGTTTGGGGAGCTTTACAATTCAGCTTTGGCTCCACACACACATTATTTTGTATTTAAGTCCCTTCCTGGCTGCTTCACAACTCAAAACTCTCTTAATGAGTTTTTGAAAGATATTCTTTATAACATGAAGTAGCTTTAAACTTTGGTCTTTTATATTCCATGGTGGTCATGATGCTTTTTGTTCAATTACCAACATGGCTTGCACTATCAACATGGCAGATTTTTTCATAACCCCTAATACTGATTTTTATTACTGATATTTTCATAATCCCTTCTACCGCATTTTGCACCATATCTATTTATTTTGCATACACTGAACCTTTCCATATCAAGCGCCTTTTACAGCATGACTTTCAATTGCTTTTCTTTTTTCTCCTACACTGTCTGCATTCTGATCACTGCTGCACTTTATAAATGGTTATGTTCATTTCACTGTTGTAAGCTGCCCATTCACTATTGAAAAGCTGTATGCATCGAAATAAAGTTTGTCTAAGTCTAATTATGTTCTTTGACAAACTTCTTGGGGCTATCAGAGATGCTTTCCAAATTTTTGGAGATTTATTTAGTGAAAACGTACTTGAAATAATTTTCCCCAAAAAATTCACAATTTTGTGCCAACCTAACACATGAAATCCTCGTAAAAACGCATTCAACTTTGTAACAAGAAAAGGACATAATGTAAAAAATATGATCAAGAAACATTAAAGTTTGAAAGTGAATATATCTATGCAAATTGCAGACACCTGTTGTAAATTATTCTTGCTCATGGCAGAACCTATTTGAATATAATATTACAACAGACTACAGCTTTCACTGGACATTGTAACCTTAAAAATATTAAAAACAGGAAAAGGAAAACCTAAACTTAATCAACAATGTGGTTAACAATTGACATAAAAAAAAAAACCTAAAAAAAAAAAAAACGATTACAAAATGTACCAAGATATCAAAAAGGAACAAATCAACTTAGCCAATCCCAACCAAGAATGTTGTAAGAAAATGTCCAGCATGTACAGATGAAGTGAGCCTGCTGTGCTGAGCTGTAAAATAAAAGTTATATGCTGCAAAATACCTGATTGTCTATTAGTGTTAGCTTTAAGCAAACACGACTCTGATAGTACAGATATACAATTCTTTGCAGAAATGCATATATATGTCTTGCTTTTATTAAAAACAACCCTAACATGCAAACACTGGACTAAGAGGAAGTGCATGATGAAAGTTTCCTTATCAAATGTAAACAGAGCGTGCCATGACATATCAAAGGTACATCTAAGATAGCATCAAAGAGTGTGCATCCTTCCTAGCTCAGAAGAAGATGTTTCCTTAACATCAAAACCTCAAAGCTGTTTTTTAACGTTCAACTTTGCTCCTATTTAGGGCTAATCTGTCTTTCAAATCAGTTTTACTAATAAATGGTTGCTGGTGTGCATTTTTTTTTTTTTTATGTAAAAATGAATTTGGGCTACAGGTGAAATTAAACATGCCTATATCTGTCTGTCATGTGGAAGTTGAAAGAGTTTGGTTTCAAGGGTAAAATTGCCTGTCAAAATATAGTAAACAGATAAAGTTATCCAAATTAAGGTATTACGTCTTCAAAAGCTAAAATAGAAAAGCCAAATAGTACAAACTGATAGTAAGAACAAGTGCCAGCAGCAATAACTTCCAAACATGGAGTACTAAATGACAGCTAGAAAACGTCTATTGAAGTAGCATCATTCATTTGCTAGAATCCAGTTTTAATACATGCATTACATTATTGATTAATGCCATCTTTAAAATTGATGTATTTTAAGAATATTCAGTCTTTTCATCTAATAACATTTACATTTAAAATGATTATTCCATATTTTCATTCCATTTTTTATATAAAAAAAATAAAAACAAGTTTTACTCTCCACTAAACACATTATAATGTGAGCAACGAAAAAAAGACTGCAGGTTTTATGTCCTAAAATAGACTAAACAAACTGAATATAAAGAATTTCAGGTTTCTATTTCAGGAAGAAAATTACCCTCATTCTATAATGGCTTAAAAAAGGAAAGAATGAAGTTCTGCAAAACTAACTAAACTTAGCTGAATTTTACATATCAAAACAAAAGTGTAATGTTTGATAAGTCTTTGGATATTGTTTGTACCTAAACACAAAGAGTTCCCGGTGTGATGGCGATGCCAAAGTGGATCACTGTGGAAATTAGTCGAGCAATTGAATTTTCTACAATAGCAAGTTGTTCCTTATAGACAACAGCTACATATATTCTAACAACTTTCCAGTTAGTGAGTTATTTTGAAGATATACATCATTAAACTATAACGAATTATGGTCAGATGAAACAGGCAATCGTATACTAAGAATTTATTTTGAAGAGCAAAATGGCAAAGCTGTTTTCTTATATCACAAATTATCATGAGACAAAATGAAGCAGCTATTTGGTTCCTAATCATTTTTAATGTTTTTGGATGCTTTACATATTCAAAAAGGGATGCATTGGGAAGATGAAACAGGCCAATTTTGGGGAAATTGCCTGATAACAATATAGTACCACAAAAGAAGGGTAGCTGATTACCCTAATATACCAAATCATTTAACACTTTGTCATACCTAGGCACTCTCACAACTTCAAGGGTGTAGAATGTGGCTGGATTGTCTCCAGGCTCCCAATAGCAGGTGACGTTACTTCGTTGTATGAACTCACATTTGATGAGCTTTGGCGGTGCGGGGATGGCCTTGGATGTTACTGATGTGAAGGCTGGAGGATTGAATATTGAGAACAGCTGAGGTCAACAACATCAAAGAGGTCATGCACCAAATCCCTCAACAAGAAATAAAGTAAATCAAGAGGTATTGGCCTTTTGTTTAATTTTTAACAGAATATATTTTACTTAGTTTTATACAAGATTTTGTATAAGATTTATAATTTTATATTTGGTAATGTTTGGATTACTTTTGTTAATTTTAGACCCTCCAATTAATTTAGCAGATTAGAAACACACGAAGGGGGGGGGTCAGGATTTGACGACAGGAGGATTTTTGTAAAAAAATATGTTTTTAACACTTTTGATCATTTTTGGAAGTTGTAACATCACATTAAGTTAGCTTTTTTATTTTTATTTTTTTATCTAATTTGTCAGATATTTTTTTGATATTTTGTCCCGATTTTTGCTCTATAGAAAAAACAGTGCAAAAAGTTTGTGATGTTTTACAAAAGTAAACTAACTTACAACATGAGAAACGTTTATTTTTCACCCTGGTTTGACTTTTGCATCACCGTTGTGATATGATTTACATTTTTATAGATGAATAAAATTTTCCTTTCAGGAGCATTCTCAAAAAATAATACAAAATTCTATTTAAACACATTTATCACTTAAAATAAATACGCATTGAGGAATAACAATCATTACCACATTTTAAGTTGGCAGTGATGCACTTGCTGGCAGCCTCAACAGTTAAAACATAAATAGAAATTGAACCTTTTTGAAAAGTTCCTGATGATCTGTAGATTAGCAGTCCATGATTTATTTTATCTCTAAAATATACTTAATATCTGAAAAGAAAGAGAAGTTAAGAGAACAATGTGTGCAACTAAGGTAGACGTATGTTAACATTCATACAGAAAAACATTAGTAACCTCATTTTAGCATTAGGTTTCTTTAGTCGGGGGAAAAACATTTCAAAACATTAAACCACTGGAAGTGATATCATTAAAATAGATTTATATGGTCACAGTTATAGGGGCGATAAAAATGCTGAAGAAAGAAAAAAATCTAAATCAGCAGCTAATTTTTCCCTTTCAGATTATCCTGCTGCACAGAATAATAATCCTATTGTGGTTGTTTTTACACATATTTAAGAGGAATGCTAATAAAATTAAAAGGTGTTATGTGGGGGAAATTTAATTAAATGTTTGTCACCTGCTGTTTGCCCCAAGGCTTTATCAGAAGCTCCAGATGCTGCAAGATGGTTGCTTTGATTTGGCAACCAATCTGCAACACACCTTACCACAGACCATGTAGGAGTATTTAATGTTATTATACATGTCGCAATAACTAAAATACCTCAGATAATTTTGGAAATATATATATATATATATATTTGGACTACATTACCTCATCAACTGATAAAACAAAATTATTAGATTCATATTGTCACCCATCTGCAGGGAGCTGCAAGGTTATTTTTGAGAACGCATTTAAATGTGACAAACAGATCATAGATTTTGTCAAGACAAGCTTTTTTTTTAACTCCATCATTTCAGTAAAAATAAAACCTACATCCTTCATGACCAGTTTAAGACAGTAATGCATGCATTTATTGAAACTCCTCCTATACTGATGTTGATCAGGTAATGCTAATCCCTCTGTAAAGAGTCAAAGAAGCAGCCGCTCGCCTCCTTATTGCCTTCCTATTTAATACAAAATTCAATTTCTCTGCAAACATTCTTCACAGCTTGCCACATACTGCTTATGTACTACTTAAAGAACCACATTTTCAAACTAAACAGAATATTTTCTGTGGTGGAGCTCTGGAAGTACTTGCCTCTGAGTTCAGTTTAGAAATGTTGTGTTTCTGCTAGTTTGACTTTGTTCAAGTATGTTTTCTTTTTTAGATGTGCTATATAACTAACCTGGAGTTGACCTCTTTCCAAATAGTAAAGGCTCATATTGATTGACTTTTTTAGTGCCGCTTGTGATCGGTTTGGAGACTTGAACATGAATTTTCAGTTTTTTTCAAAACTAAATGAATAGAAATGTGCACTAGAGGGTCAAAGTAGCAACTTCAGGTACACTAAAAGGGTTTGTCATATATTGTGTTTGCTTTTTCTTGATCTGTGAAACAACAACCACACACTTAACAGGCTAAATGTCAGTAAGAGGCACAAGCTCACAATCTGTTTTAGAGAAAACAAAAATGAAGAAGTGATTGTTACCCAGAAAAAGTCCAGCCCCCAGCAGGCAGGTCCAAACCCCGGCTAATCTTTGCTCCATGAACATCCAAAGGTCCCTCACCCAGTTTCTCCCATGGTGCTGGCAGCAACCCAGCTCAAACACTCAGACTGCTGAAAGAGTCCTGGTTCATTAGTTAGGGTGAATTAAACATTTGGCAGATTTACTGATACTTTGAAATTCGTTATAGAACAAGTTTTTCTACATGCATGACTTTGAATCTGTACATTCCCATGGCGCTCACAACAACACGATGCCATTTGGTAAAACAGAATCAATTCTATTTTAAAATTAGTCAACTTTGTCTCAAAAATATACATCATCAGTTAATGTGTTTCTCTGTATGGCTTCTTACAGTCATATTAACCCTGCTTAGCGATGCCAAATATGTCTTTTACTGCTTTACCAGTGGTTCCAAGACTTTCTCATACAAAATAGAGATTTTAGGTGCAGGCTGATGTAATTTCAGTAGTTATTTTTTTTGCCCGATATCAGATATAGGAACGATATCTATATCAGATTGAGACATCCTTGAAAATACACACATTTAAAATAACAATAAAAAATCCCTCAACTTAAATTCCAAAAGGTATTAAAGTATTGAATGATTGATTGATTATTTCCTTACCCATTAAAATAATGGACGTTCCATTGTCACGGGTAAATAAAATCTCTCAAAGGAAGCTCAGTGAATTCCAGAGTGGTGCTGTCATAGCACCCATACAAGTCTGATCGGGAAATATTCTCTGTTCCCATAACATTTCTATAAAACTTGATTTGTTTATTCCACACTTTAAACTGCCAGGTGTATTTATGTCGACTGTAGGTTGCAAAGGCTGGTATCCTGCACCTTTTAGACGTGTCTTTGCTTTAACACACCTACCGGTAAATCAAATTATCAGTAGAACTTTCCTGAACTTGACTGCCTGCTGAGGAGGTAATCAGGTCATTTGATTCAGTAATATTGGATGAGGGATCGATCTTAAGGGTGCAGGATACCGGCGCTCCAAGACTTGAGCTTGACACCCCTGCAACTTAAAGCATTGGATGTGCTGATACTGTAAAACAGTAACAGTGAACCTTTGTTGTTTATTAAACCTTCTTACCAAACATCAGTTTATGACCTCACAAATATCCTGGAATTAAGGGTGGATATACACCATAATGAACCCCATGAATTTAGGCAGGAGAGCAAATATTTTTTGCATGATAGTGTATAATCTATCTGTCTCTCTGATTTTATTTTCATATGTCAGGTTGAAAGTTATTGATGTTCTGCTCCTTCCACCTGTCATCTTCTGTGAAGTTGGGAAAGGATCAGATTGGAACTTGGATGAATCTTAGTCATGCATTATTAATAAAACTTCAGAGTGTCCATATAGGGATCAACACAATTTCTGTATTTATTATTCATTTGATCAAGGCTCAAAACTGATTTATAAAACATTTGTTATTTTTCACACTTTGTGAATCTTTTTATTTTTTTAACCAGCATTCAGCATGCCTGTTTATAAAAGAAGAGGTAAAAAAAAAAAAAGTCTAGTCTTTACACTTTTAATACCCCTGCAGGATTAATCATCTTCAACAGCAACTCATTTCCTCCAAACAGCGGCAAAGTTTACAAACACAATTAATACAACTTTAAGCATAATGTCAATTAACAAAATTAACATTTAATATTGAGATCAGCAATAGATAGATTCAAGTCTGATCTAAATTTTGCTCTATGATGAAACTTTATGTTATTTACCCCCACTCTAATTAACCCGCGTTGTCCCGCAAAGCGTCATAAAGCAGGTTCATGTTTTATTCCAGATGTTTACTCACCATGGTGGGTTTCTCTCCGCTACATGGACCTCATCGAGCTGCTCTGCTGCGGTTGTGCAACATGTGCGGTTCGTGATAAACATCTGATCCGCCCCGCTGCGTGTCATTACCACGGAACAGCGTGGGCTGTGTGGGAGGGGCTCCCAAAATAATGAACAACTTTTAAAGCGTGGATTTAATAAACCCTGATTTTTAAAAACGCATAGATCATATTTTCTATATTAAAACGATCAAAAATAAAAGGTTACCAGTAAATAAGACTTCAAAACCTTTTTTTGTGTCTCCTAATGAAGCCTTCATTGGTGCCACAAGTTTATCTTATGAGAAAAATTAGAAATGATGAGTGCACCACTGCCTGCCTGCTTCAGAATGTCTGTTGGAGTATTTTCCCCAAATGCCTGCTTTGTTTTCTGCTCTAATGATTTCCTAGTGATGATGCAACTTGTCACATTCATAATAGCACACTGAATTACTCTAAGGTGCATTAGACACATATTAAGGTGAGTCACTTCTTTCATGAGAACAACAACAACAAAAAAAGAGGTAAAACTATGCCAGAAAAAAAAACAAAAAAAACAAAGTTGAACTTGAAATGAGTTAACTTCCTGCTTAAGAGGATATGTTTGTTAATATAAAATTGTAAAAACTGATGTCAGATCTACAGTGTTAAGACCAGTGGTGGATCTTGGGGGTGGCTACTTGGGCTACACCCCTGGATGTTTTCCCAAAAGCCCCAGATCTAAGAGCTGATCCGTGTAAAATGTGCAGTACTGGAATTCACCAGAGAGTGGCAGCATGCAGAAGCAGAAGTGTTACCCTCTGCTTTCCAGCTCAGTCCAGGTGGCTAAAATATTAGATTTTCCTCTCATAACTCTGGTAAATAATGATCAAATGTCACAAAATCCACAGGATCTGTTGTTGATGAAGAGAGGAATAAACACAGTTAAAGACTTGCAGGTAGATTAAATTATTCCAATGTTATGGAGGGGGAACAGATAATTTCAGGCAGCTGAAATATCCATTCTATCCTCCTCCTCCCATATCTTAGGAAATATGTGTGATAGCATGTCGTATGCCTGAAATTTTCCTAATCCAGTAATCTGTCATATTTTACATCAGAATGGGATTTACCAGAAAACCTACACTCTCACCTTCACCCTCAGGGCTCAGCCCCTGACCTCCTAGAATCCTAGATCCGCCCCTGGTTTAGATACTGTCTACAAAATCACTACATCCATCTACCAAATGCTCTCATTACCGGAGCAGGAACACCAAAGCTACACAGCCCAGACTTCACTAAATAGGATTGTTCTGCTCCATCATGATGTCCCAAAATGCTGCTGAAAGATGGAAAATAAAAATTGCAAATGAACTGATTTAAATTATTACCTTTTAATTTGAAACCCTTTTTTTCCCCATTTTTGTTCAAATGTAAGAATCTGATCTCGATCCAAATCATCTCCTCTACTAAACCCTAGAACTTTTAATAACTTTAAAGTTTACTTTGTGGTCACAAAAATTATTTACTTAGCTATTAAAAACTGAATAGATGCCTATCAATATAGTAATCAATCCAAGTGATTATTTTGAATGTTTGCGCCTTTATTAATCATCTTTTGGTGTTACTGCTATATCTACTCAAGCTTCTTTTTATCTGGTAGAGATTGCTCCATGAACTATAGGATTAATTTTACAGATTGATATTGCTAGCTTATTGAACTGATTAGTTTTGTCCGGACTCCAGTCTGTGTGTTTGTCTTTTTTGTGTTGTTCTCCCTTCCACCAGCAGGAGGCGCCTGGTTCTGGTCCGCCTCCTCACACACCTGATGATGGTTGCCTCATTAGCGGAGTGTTCTTAAGCTGCTGATAGCCACTACCTCGACGCCAGAGTGTTTGCCAGTTTTGGGTACTCTAGCCAAGCTGAGTTTTTGCTGAGTAAGACTGAGTGCTTGTCAACCCCAGTTTTAACTTCATTCTTTGTCTTTTCTCTTGGCAGGAAGTCTTTCTGTGAACTGGACCTTTCGGACCTTCACTCCCTGAAGGAATCGACTGAGCCTCAAACCGAGCTGGGGATTCAAACTGGAGGTTTGAATCCTTCTTCCTTGAAGGGGAAGTTGAATCTACTCTCCATTACAACCCGTTCAAGTACAGCAGTAAATCTGAGTGGCAGTCAGTTTCTCCATTCACCAACAACCATCCAAGTTCTGGGTAAACCCTGTTTCGCCCTCCACCGAATCAAAATAACTCCGATCAGATCGGAGACAATGATCCTACAACTTCTCTGGAAACGTGAGTGGACCTTCAGATCCTCTTCTCCATATCCACTTTCCCACTGAGCCTGAACTATCGTTTGTCTTCCCTTCACCTTCCAGTTCCGGTTGAGCTGAGTTCAGGGCAACTCAGCACCGAGCCTTATCTCTTCAATAAAACTCTCTGTTTGGTCTTCTGCATTTTTGGGTCAGACCTTTAGTAAATCATGACAAGTTTATAAACATTAATTTAACTTAACTTTGGTCAATATTGCCGGAACACTAAAACCAGTAATGAGAAAGGAAAGCAAATGTGCAAAAAGTATTTTCATGCAGTACAATGAATGAGGAAATCATTGGGACACGTTTGAACTATTTTAATTTCCATATCACAGCAAACTCACAGTACTTTCTGCAAGATTTGTTTATACATTAAATATATTCAAGTGAAGAGAGATATATGTTACACTTATTAAAAAGGAAAAAAAAGATTATCTATTTAAGTAAAAACCAGAGAGGGTAATGACTATGAGTAGAGATTTACAGAGCATAAACATAATTTTGGAGTGGTCTAGTTAAATCTTGGGCTTTAACCCGATAAGGACTTCGTTACATGACATCAAGGAAGCTGTTCATGCCCAAAGTTCTTTAATGTGGCTGAATTTAAACATCCTCCTCCTCAGTAAAAGGACAAAATAAATGCCTGTAATGGTCTTTCTGGAAGTAGGTGCCAATCTTAACTTTCAAGACTTAATAAAAATAGGGGGAAAAAGTCCTAAAATTCTCCCTTGAGGAAATAGCAAACTTAATTTAAGAAAAAAAGAATGCACCCAATCAATTGCATATGCCATCTCTTAGAAAAAACCCTACACAGTGATGCTTTTGTTTCAGATGATGGCAGTTTATGTGCTTCTCATAAGGTGATAACACTCTGATACATCAAGACAACAGTTGTAAAACCATTAGTCTTTAAGGAGTCTAAAATCAATCAGCTAATTCCAAAAATATTAAACCCTAAGGCAATAGATGGAGCAAATGAGTTTAAGGTTGCTTAAATTGAAAATAATCTTATTGAGCCTTGAAAACTAAATTGAGAACAACAGAAATCTCTCCAGGGATAACATGAGTCACCATTCCTTTGAACTATATTTCCGAGGCAGAGGCAAACAGAGCTCCTGTATTCGAGTGGAGGGGTTAGCAGAGCGAGCAGCCCGGCTAACAACATACGGGTTGTACCCCTCAAACAGTGCTTTTCTTCTTTTGGGGTAGGACAGCTCACAAAGTCTCTGGCTGGCTACATGATGTCTGGCCGCTTTGGAAACTGGCCAGCATACTGGGCGCTCTCCCTTATACTCAGGGTGGTTATGCTTTGGAGCTAGAGAAACAAATATATTAAAAACCAAGCAGAACAATGGCAACATCTCATAAAAAACACAGCATAAAGGAAACTTATACTCACTGGCTAGTACCTCTATATGGGCAGATGTTCTTGAGGCCAACTGGGTGGTAGGTCGAGGTTCAGATCTGCAGCTAGATAACACTTGAAGTTGTTGTCTCCTCGGCTGGGCGAGCTCTCTAAGCCGTGAGGAGGCAACTGCTGATTGTGTCCCTCGACTCACCTGCAGAGAAGACCGATTAAATACAAGACAAACCCAATCTAGCTGGAGTGGCTCGTAGGATAGTAAAGTAGGAAGTTTAAAATTGTACAGTAAAGCTGGTCAGAGATTATGTGAAAATAGATTAAGCAAATATAGGCTGTAACCAATAATGTATTATTTCTGAATAGCATAATTTAGGCCAGTTTCAATGCCATAAAGGTAACAATTTTGAAGTTGCAAATCATAAAATGAAATTTCAAGCCAGCTTCTTCAGCCGTTCACGAATGAGGGGAAGATGGAGCGGGAGATCAATAGGCAGATTGGTACGGCGTCTGCTGTGAAGCATGCCCTGTATTGGTCTGTTGTGGTGAAGAGAGAGCTGAGCCAAAAAGCAAAGCTCTGGATTTACCGGTCATTCTACGTTCCTACTCTCATCTATGGTCATGAGCTTTGGGTCATGACCGAAAGAACGAGATTAGTTTTCTCCATAGTGTGTCTGGGATCTCCCTTAGAGATAGGGTGAGGAGCTCAGTCACTCGGGGAGGATTTAGAGTAGAGTCACTGCTCCTCCACATCGAGAGGAGCCAATTGAGGTGGCCTGGGCATCTGGTTAGGATGCCTCCTGGACGTCTCCCTGGTGAGGTGTTCCAGGCATGTCCCACCGGGAGGAGGCCCAGGGACCCAGGACACGCTGGAGGGACTATGTTTGTCGGCTGACCTGGGAGCGCCTTGGATTCCCCAGAAGGAGCTGCCCCAATGGATAGATGGATGGATGATCAAATTTGAACCCAAAAACATATGGACATCTAGCTGTTAAATATGTTTTGACATTATATGTGTGGCTTTAAAACTTTTTCAAAATGTAACAGAATCAAAATTATTGAATTTATTGAATGTAAAGGACTTATTTGCAGTTTTTGGTGAATGGCAAATTAAAATGAGGTACATTTAAAGGAATAGCCGTCAATTTTATTCTTTTAAGTTTCCGATTTACCATGCACCATTGTGCAGACCCAAATGGAGAATTATTTGTTGCACTAAATATTTATCTTAGGACACTCTTCATTTTAGGTGAAGTCACCAACAGTATAAAGTGCTATAATTTTTATTCAAAACTTGTTGTATAACAAGCTTTCAATTATGTTTCTGGTTTCATGAAATTCTATATGGCTAAATAGAGTAGTAGTGGCTGGGGAAAAAAATTTATTGCTGACAGAACAGCTGTTTGGGTTGTGCAAAATCGGAAACTTGAGTGGAAGTTCACCTAGGTGTAAAATCTGACCAAAACAAAAAAATAATAATGTGCAGTCCAGGCCAACTAATTAGTAGATTAATGGATCTTAGATCATGAAGAGGATTTAGTATAATTGAAGTCTCCCTATATTGCATGGCATTCATCAAAGTGCACAGGTGCTTCAAAGTTCATCCCTTCGTCTGTAAAATTTAGCTTATCTTATAACTTGGCTTATGGAGCCACCAGATTAATGAGAAAAACCCTCAGATCCCTTAACTATGTGAAATTTGTTTCCAGTTTGTGTAGGAATCCTGACTCTATCCTTAGTCCATTCGTGAAGAAACATTACATTCAACTTCCCTGCTTATAGAAGAGTCTGACATTCAAAGAGGATTAAGATTTTCTTGTTCAGGGGATACAAAAGCAAAAGCAGTCCAGTGCCAGAACCAGAATTTACATGCTGCTACTCACAGGTGTTGGCAGAGGGCGGCCAGGCTGCCACCCTGGAGCAGGGGGGCGAGGCTGAGCCAATTTACATAGTCGTTCAGAAGGGACGGCCCTAAGAGCCCATTTACTGACCTCCCAAATGGGAGAAAGTCTGAGGGAGGAGATAAATGAAATGGAAAAATAATAGGAAATAAGAGTTATAAAGAAAGACTGATCACTTTATCACAGAGTAATATTAAATGCATGAGGAAAATCTAGAAAAGATGGTCATTGTTACATGAGACAAACAGAGATACTTTTCTCAAATTTGTTTGTAGTGACAGTCCGTCATATATCAACATTAGAAATGTTTTGACAAGAATGGTATCCATATAAAACATCGATAGAATTACGATTCTACTTAGGTAGCAAAATAACTGCCTTAATAAATATATGCATATTAAAAACATTTACGGGATTTGAGTGTTGAAGATTTTCCTGCTGGTCAAGTCTGACCAGCGAGATGTCAACTCTGTGCAAAAGCAAAGAGAAAGAATATTAATGTAGATTCACACATTTTTTATCTAATTTGTACCAAAAAAGGTAAAATATACCAATTTGGGTAGTGGATTCAGTCTTCTCCTGCGGTAGTTTATCTAGCCAGTAAACAGAGCGACTGAAAAATAACAAGAGGCTCACTTACATAAGGACAACAGTAAAGAAGCAGCTGGTGAAGTTACTCCCTCCTACCGGTTCAGATATCTGAGATGGTTCAGCTTAGGCTGAGAGAGTTGTTGAAATCGAGATCCCATTACAGCAGTCTGAGCTGATGCCAAAAATACTGCAAAGAAACCTTAAGCAAAGCAGCCAAAACAAAAATACTGCAGTTTATTATAAAAGTATCTATACCCATTTAATAGACAATTACTATTACAACATCAAGTGTTTAAAATTTGGATTATGTAATCAGAGGTGTCAAAAGTATTTATGTTTATTATTCAAGCAGAAGTATAAAATATACTGTTTAAAAACCCATTTGTAGAAGTTAGAGTATCAACTTGAGATTTGTACTCAAGTAAAATAGTAAAAGTAAAATTTTTAAAACCACTTAAATTATAAAAGTAAAAGTAATGCGGAAAAAAGGATAATAGATGCTTTAAACCTCATACTGGTTACTGCAAAACCCCATTAAAACATTTTTTTCTACAATTCTGGATGATAACTTCTGTATACTTAATTTTCTTAGTTTTACAAGTAATGGCATATGTGTAAAATTTTCACTTTGCATCATCTTGAAAAAACATTTATTTTGGTATGTGTCGAACAACAAGTTCCAAAGAAATTGCCTGATGGCAGCAGAGATGCCATAACAAATTATTTTGATGGTTTTTTGGTTTTTTTCTTAAATACTTACTGAATAAACTGAAATGAAACAAAACTAACAAGTCTATTTCTAAAATGTAAGGAGTCGAAAGTAGATCTAATTGCAAAAAGAATGTAAGGAGGAGAAGTAAAAAGTTGTCTAAACAATAATTACTCCAGTAAGTATAGATAGACAAAATTTTGACTTCAGTGTTCTTTTTCCAGATGGATCATCAAAATAAGTGGTCCTCCTAATTGTCAATCATTCTGGTGATATTTTTACTTAAGGCCGTCCTATGTGCTCGTCCCCATTTTCACTTACCGGTGGTGAGTCTGACATAGTGGAAAAATTGCAAATCTTCTTTTGGAAAGTAAGCTTGTATGAGCAATGCAAACTAGAGTCCTGCAACGGGTCGGGTACCCGTGGGTCCCCAACGGGTCACCCGCTAAAATGCTCTTTTGCGGGTGAAAAATACATAAATAAAAATAAACGGGTCGGGCGGATATTTTTTTAGTGCGGAAGGGTAGTTGGTGATTTTTTTTTTATGCATGTGTGTTGTTATGGACATCAGAAATGTTATATTAATCAGGCACTGGGGTCACCCTTGTTGTACCTTAAAGCCCTGCCGGCAGTGTGGGCTTCCCTCCAAAAAGGCCACAGTCAGTGCATACACGTCTGCTGCAGTGTTAATGGCGCTGTTCTGCAGCGCAGCGTACTATAGCCTATTACTTGATGTGTTAACGGGTCGGGTTGCGGGTTAAATATCAACGGGTCGGGTCGGGTTCGGATTTGAATTGAAGATATCTGCGGGTGAGGGGTCGGGTTCGGTAGTCATCCTAACGGGTGCGGGTTGGTAAAACTCGACCCGTGCAGGACTCTAATGCAAACAGCAACTTTTAAACAGAGCATGCAGGAGGAGAAATGGGTCTGTGCATGCTCTCACACGCATTTATAAAGCAAACTAATTTGGCAAATTATTGTTTATTATGGTGTTGTTGTTGTCTACAGAGGAAGTTTGATCCATACACATCTGAATCTACAACCTTGTAAATTAAGCATTTTATTCAATGTAAGCAAATAATAACCTACACTAGTAGGTAGATTTGTAAATAAAGCAGATACTGTTGTTCAGATACAATCAACCTTATCATGAACTTGAGCTGCAAATTCATGGAAAATTCAGTTTCTATATATTATTAATAGATTTTCATCGTTTTTGTTTTCCCATCTCTTGCCATTTATCTCCACCAAGGTTATGTTTTTAGGGTAGTTTGTGTTTGTTTGTCTGTCTGTCTGTGTACAGGGTAACTTGAAAAGTTATGGAGAACGTTCTTGATTAGATTCAGTCACAATGGCTGTTCTGGATTTATAGTATTTTGGTAAGAATATCATTGAAGATAATGTATTTGAATCAATTGCATTAACTTTCACTAAACAAAACCCAATTTGATTACTAACAAATGGACTGTTTTCAAGTATTTAATTTATCATAATTTTGTTACGCTAATGTTAAGGTAACGAGATTAGAATATTACATCTGTCCGATATAAACACAATTTTAAAGAGATGTGGGTTTAAGAAGACAAAGTGTGTTTCATGCCTCTTTAAAGGTTATAGTTTAGAGGTCCCGTTAATCTGACAAAAAGCATCATTAGAGAAAATATGAAGACTTTTTTCTATGCATATTATTTGCAAACAAATCTTGGATCATTTTTATATAATAACCTTCATAATATTACATTTGAATATGATGAAACAAGATTACATACTCTTAAGAATCTGTCCCATTTGCATTTTGATTTTGAGCCTTAATATGATTCCAGCACACAGTGTGATAAGCAGTCAAAGGTGCTGTTTGAGGCTGAACCAAAGTATGCAGAGGAGCTGTCCAATACAGAACTGAATATAAGCTCAGTAATTCCTGTTCGATTCAAATCTTCAAGAGAAACATAGATCAAATGTTAAATACCTATAAATATTAGCAGTTTCTATCTAATGTTTGTTGCAACATATCAAAATCTCATTCTCCAGAGAGGGACATATTCAGCTGTCTCATTTGTCAGCAGAGGAGCACGCACAAGATCATCGACCAGCTCAACTTTCCACAGTTTAAGACGGAGATGCTGCAGTTTTGCCAGAAGATCTGTCGCTTTACCGTCACAAGGTGGACTCACTGAATTATACTAAAAAAATATCTGTGTTTTGTTTTGCCTATAATTACATAAGTATTTACCGTATTAAGAAATTCTATAATTTAAAGCACAATAAACAAGTTTTATTCCGTTGAAATTGCAAAGTATTTATAGATAGATACATGCATACACACACAGACACATGGGGCCAAAAGGTATTTAGTCAGCCCCTAATTGTGCAAGTTCTCCTACTTAAAATAATAAGAAAGGTCTGTCATTTTCATCATTGGTACACTTCAACAACTATGAGAGTCGAAATGAGAAAAAAAAATCCAGGAAATCACATTGTATATTTTAAAATAATTTATTCACTCAGTGAATAACACATTCATAAATGAAACTTCACAATCATTTAAAGTAAATAAGACACCTTCATAATCCCAAATGTTCCGAAGAAATATTCAATTCATCCACTTTTGAATAGTATTTATATTCAAACATCGCTCTTGCTCTAACCACGCTCTTTTTGGACTGGGAGGAAGCCGGAGAACCCGGAGAGAACCCACGCATGCTCAGGGAACACATGTAAACTCCATGAAATATTCAATTCATCCACTTTTGAATAGTATTAATATTCAAACATCGCTCTTGCTCTAACCATGCTCTTTTTGGACTGGGAGGAAGCCGGAGAACCCGGAGAGAACCCACGCATGCTCAGGTAGATAGATAGATAGATGGATGGATGGATGGATGGATGGATGGATGGATGGACGGACGGACGGACAGACGGATGGACGACAGATAGAGAGATACAGAGAGAGATAGATAGAGAGACAGACAGGGTCCAATACACATATAAAATAAGTAGCATTGATATTAATTTTTTGTTGAGAGACAAAGGCCAAAGCAGTTTATGTTTGAGAAAAAATTCTTTACTCTTTTCCAAAATTTCTTGCGGGTTTTGACTTCAACCAGATGTGAGGGATCTTTACAGCTTGTTAAGTTTGTGTTATCCTGGACATGGAGTTTGGTATCTTCAGACTTTTTTGAGAGTTTTTCCTCAGTTTTTAGTTGTCTGTCCATCACCACACACCTGGAACTGGGTGGTGATGCGTGTTTCTGTTCAGAGAGACTAACTGATGCTGGTAATCTTTTGTGGAACAGGGGTGGGTCCAAATTAGGCTTCAATAAGGAGGAATCGAATGTAAAACCTGTATGTTCTGATAAGCTACTCTGTATTCTCTTGTTGATCACTTAAATGAGATGAAAGTTGAGATTGCTTAGGTATAGTCAAAATAACGGGATTAAATGTGACATTTCTAGACTTTTTCTCTATTTCCACCACCTTTTTGATGGAACTACTAGTCATTATTGTTCCCTTCTTAAGTGGAATGCTCAGTATTTTCTCTTTTTGATCACCACAATCAGTTTGCTGTTGATTATTAGTCGGCAAGATGGTTGTTGATCTGATAATAGGTGATTCTGTGTATAAATCTGACTGAATCACTGGGTTTGTTTGAGGAGAGGGGGTCCTGCGGCACAAGGCAGGGATATCCAACCTTTCTGATGTCATTAATTTGTAAGTTCTCATTGCCTCATGGGCTTCAAGTACATAAGAGCTGCTGCTGTCAAAGTTAGACAAATGGTCCATGGTAATAAAGTTGTGTTTAAGTGCAGCGGCTGAGGTAATACGTTCCTGAGGTGTAGGAACTATCATTTGCTTTAGAAAATCTATGAAACTTAGTAAATCCTCCCTTTCAGCGGGGTCTTGTGTTGCTGGACGGATTTCCAGCAGGTCGTCCAAAGACTGCAGCTTCAGCACTGGATCATACTTCTTAATTACATTTTTCCAAGACGAAAAAGTCTTACTGCAGTGTGGTTCACCCAACATTTTAACAATTGCCGCCAATGTTTTGTCACGAGTACCATAATCAAACAAGAAATACTTAAGGTAGAAGTAGATCAAAGTGATGCCTAGACACCACATATCCAAACTGGCATCTGGCTTGTCACGCATAATTCCCTCCGGAGGAATGAAAATAAGAGGGTTAGGATAAAAATTTGACATTGATCCTATCTCCTCAGTGAAACCCATATCAATTAATTTCACTTTTAGAGAGGACCAGTCTACCAGCATTATGTTGTTAGGCTTGATATCTTTATGTACTATTCCATTACTATGTAGAAAATCTAAACCCACCAGTACCTGTTGAGCAATAAGTCGAATATCATACAAATGTAGTCCACTACCTACAACGAATTCTGTAAACATTAGCAAATCGATAGCCAGTTCTTCAAACACAAGACAAGGGTTTGTTTTGTAGTTAAAATCTTCATAAAACTTCACTATGTTGTAGTTGTCCGCTCCAAGTTCTTTGATTTTGTTCAAGA